GTCAGGAAACAGGACAAATGTTTCCTGACGCGGGTCTTAGTCAGATGATGACCCGCCTTTGGAGGTTTTGGTCATCTGACCGAGGCCTTCCGCTGGCTTACCGGTCCACCCCTTTAAAAATTATTGTCATTTATAACGATTGTTATATGACTTCAGCAATTTTATATTTTGTCTTAATCATGTATTTGTCATAATATCTCTTAAAATCAATATTTCTCTAAGCCTCCTAAGGGATAAACTTGGATATTTACTTGTATACCTTATATTATTATTATTATTATTATTATTATTATCAAAAAGCGCTAAACCACAAGGACTATACAGCACTCGTATACCTGGATAAAGCTATTTATATGGTCATGGGGCATAAAAACTGAGGAGACCTCTTAGAAGATCGACTTTAATTATTATTATTATTATTATGGGGAAGCGCTAAACCCGTAGGATTGTACAGTGCCTGTGAAGGGGGGGAGTGGATGGAAGGCATTCAGGCTTAATTCAGGGAACCGGAGCACAGATTCAATTTCCTAGATCAAGAGCCCCTCACCAGCGTCAAGGAACCTCCCTTGAGTGGTATAATTACTGGAAATTTGCATGGAAATTTATAATTCCTCGGTAAATATCTTGAACTGTGCGTGTCTTTTTTTACATACTATCGGTATCACCATAAGTTTCAGTCATTTTAATTACATTGTAATTGCAGCAGGATGTGATGAATAAATTCTCAGTGTATACAGTGTATACACCAGACCAAGTTTACTGGAGGTAAGTTAATTTAAAATCTATTAAGGATCAAAATTTTACTAGTAAATAAATGCTCATAGGAGCCAAAGTTAGAAATGAACTCGGTTGTTTGCATTTGGACTTCCAGCTAGAGAATTAATTCAATGAGAAGCTCTAAGTGAGAGGCGTCACTTCCACATTTTTATTATTTTTTTTTTTTTTTGCTGACAATAAATACCACTAACCATGAATTTCAGAATTGCACTCTGCTTAATATGTAGTCAACATTTCCAAATTTTTTCCTGCTGGAGTGTACTGTTATAATTCAATATCACGAGACTTTAAACCCATGAGTTTTTAGAACAGGCAGTGGTGGAGGCTCGAACCTGTCTGCTTGTCGGGACCCTTTTCTATTTCTCTCCCCTAATTCTTCTAAACTCGCCAGGTTCAGTTATTTCAGTCTCTTCATAACTCAATCCCCTCATCTGTAGATTATTATAATGGAGCGCTCAACCCGTAGGGTTATACATTATCATTATAATCAAGGGGGAAGCGCTAAACCCGGAGGATTATACAGCTAGGGGTTATACAGCTCCTAGGGAGGATAGAAAGCATTCAGGTTTAATTTAGGGAATTGGAGCACAGATCCATTTATCTAAATCAAGAGCCTCTCACCAGGATCAGGGAAGCTTCCATGAGCGACCTCAGCTCTAGAGCTAGTCTTGTTGCAGTTTTTTTATCTTTTATAGTTTTCGTATATGCTTGATAAGGTGTGGGTTCCATGCTGGTGATGCATTCCCCATGATGGGTCCGATATCTGCTCGTGCCATCATACCTGTTTTCCGATTCACAGCGCCAGCACCATCGTGTCTGCCTATACTCTAACTGGACTGAAGAAGGCATTTCTCTGGTAGAATAATTTATCTGGAGAATACGGCTACTTTGTTGCAGACTACAGCTTAATTATCTGCACATCGCATATTTTTTGGGCTTACGTTGAGTAAAAAGATGTAACGGGCAGAACCTCCCCGAGCAACCACGGTGGCAGCGGCGCAGTCCACCACCCACTGGTCCTCCACACCTCGCAGGAAGGACTGCCATATGCCAGAGAAATCTCAGTCATCTTCACTCCTTTCGCTTGCTATACAGCAGAATTGGTAGTGCACTAGCTGCCGCAGACCCAGGGAGGAATGTGACTGTCTCTGCGTTATATCTTAAGCTGTAATCCTGGCGTTTTGTCTTGCCGGCTGGCAGAACCCGCCACCTGTGTCAACAGCGTTGATATATTGTGATTTTACCTCGTATCCCAGCATACTCTAATTTCTGAATCAATCTCTGGTGGGAGTGTCAAATGCTTCCCTACAATCCAGTTATAATAAAACTCAAGCGCTAAACCCACTAGGGCCATGCAGCGCTGAATTTTTAGTCCAAGAATATGCCGTCAACCCATCCTTGTCTTTCTTGCTTTTTCATTATTCTGCCCTATTATAATCATAAATAAGCGCTAAACCCACAAGGGTCATACAGCACTGCAGGGTAGGGCTTGCTAAAGGTTTAATATGCTTGATCAGACTAGCAAGAATGGAGAGTATAACACAGGTAGCTAGTAAGGGCGGTGTGAACTGCTACAGGAAGTAATCAAAGTTTGTGTAATAAATCTGTTGCTGTCAGAAAGTCAGAGTCTGAGTCACAGGTGGGGCCGTCAGCGAGGAGGAAGATAAAGTAAGGGTTAGGGCGGTGACGGCGTCGGAGGTAAATTCTGCATGCTCGCTGATAGACAGGACATTCTAATAGAATATGGCAAAATGAAATTGGAACTTGACAATTCTCAAAATGGAACTGGGCACCTCTCCACGATTATAATAATCAAGGGGAAGCGCTAAACCCGTAGGATTATGCAGGGCCTGTATAAGGTATTCAGGCTTAATTCAGGGAACTGGAGCACAGATCCAGTTCCCTAGATCAGGAGCCCCTCATCAACGTCAGAAACCTTCCTTGAGGGGACCTCTCCATGATACCCACGAGTGAAACGTGTGCCTGATGCGAAGATGGGAAAAGTAGTCTCCCAACCACGCATCGATTAGACCCCGAATTCTAAACACCGTTTGACAGAATGTAGTTTATGAACCAACCCCTCATTCTTCATCCTTCATGGGGGAGCGCTAAACCCGTAGGATTATACAGCGCCGGTGGGGGGATGGTAGGTATTCAGGCTCAATTCAAGGAACCGGAGCAGATTCAATTCCTAGATCAAGAGCCCCTCACCAGCATCAAGGAACCTCTTGAGGGGTCTTCATCCTCATTATTTGGCATTTTAGAATTCTCTTCCTCGTATGGTTGTATTTTTTCTAATCTTCGCATAATCATTCCTCACTTTTCTACCGACTTCCGTATTCTCTGCAGTCATGCATGTTCTATACTTTATCCATGCTCTCTTGCACCTTCCTTAGGCCTTTGCAGCTGATTAAACACGAGGCTTAGTCTTAAACTTCTCAGTGTTTCTGGTCCTGTGTGGATCCCAGTTAATTCAGAGACCTGAAGCAGATCTGGTTCTCTGAACTTGAAATTCAAATTTAAATCACTTACAACCTGTAGCTGCTTTGATTTTTCTTACCTTGTGCCACTTCTAAAATTTGTATTGTGGCTCTTCTCATACTCTTGCCTCGCTTTTTTATTGTTCAGTGGGTTATATACCACTGTTGTTACCTTGCTTCCCCTTCCCCCCCCCCCCCCCCCATCATTATTTCTACTACATGGTCTGAAATTACTAGTATCTGTGCTACCCACGTGTGTGAACATGTCGCAATTGGCGAAATCAAACTCAGAACTTCACTCTATACCTAGGTAAACTCTGGCACTTTAATACTCTAAGCATATGTAGCATTTGCTGTAACCCAAAGTTTATGGTTTACAACAGCAGTTATGACCCTACCTAGGCAGGTTTTATCCAAGGAAAAGAAATGTAACCACCTCCCTCGAGAGAGGTCTTGTTATAGTAATTGTAATTTGACACCTCATTTAAGGTATACTGATCTGGCAAATTAACGCGACGGTCTGGAGTTTTGAGAGACTGACCGCGGGTTCAAATCCCGCCCGTGGTATGGTTAGCAGAATAAAGACCTGAGTGGCCAATGGAGAACTTTGAAGCTTTTTATGTAGGAAGCTTCATTTTAGTAAACAAAAGTTCTTGCTCCAGCCCAAGTATATACCAAAAGCTAAAACTGCTTAAAAATATAAAATATAGGTATGAGAAGAGCACTAAACCCATAGGAGTCATACAGTGCCTGAGGGAATGGGAGGCAATCAGGGTCAATCCAATCACACGCCACTCATCTTTTTGTTAGCTAATTTGTTTTAGCAATTTAAAAATTTTTATAGGCAAACACAAAATTAAACTGAAAATTATTCTTAGGAAATGAAAGTGTAAAAATAAGACATGATCATGAGCACCTCAACAAATCAAATCAACTTCAAACTAAGACCCCAACAGCAGCAGCACAAAATATATAGAGCTCAAACTTCATAGTCACAGGATAAGATATATTGTATTTTATCCATATATCTCTTTATTTCCATCTTTATAACAAATGTGTCATCAGACACTGCTGTGAAAAGTTTAAGAGTGTGGAAATCTGTTTTACAGCACAAACTTTACACCCAAATCATATTTGGTAAAAAGGCAGCAATCAAAATTCACTTTTCATAACAACCAACCCCCACGTTGGGTCATCCTCCTCACAGCCGTGTCGGTGAATGAATATAATTTGTACTTAAAACCATGAATTTACAAAAAATGAACTCTACAAACATCATGATGTTACCTCAGGCATGAGCAATCTATCTTTTATGAAAATGGAGCGCCAATGTTTAGGTAACATTACCAGTGATTATAATCTTAAAAAGGTTAGGTTTAGTTCCCTCATCAACATTCATGACTAAGGTTCCAGGCACAACTGTTTACTATGTAGACATTATCACTAACATCTAATTCTAAAATAAACATCAGGAAGATCATTTTCTGGACAAAGAAAGTAAACCTTTACCTTTCCACGTGAAAAAAAAAGAAGTTTAAGAAAATAAGGACTTCTTATAAAAGCAATAAAATGATACATATGGATAATCATCAATATTAACACATCAGTCTGAAGTTCCACATTAAAAAAATTTATATAAAAATTTAATTCATCAAATGAACTTTGCATTAACAAATCCAAAAAAATTATCAGCTAAATTAATTTGAATTAAACCATCACTGGCACTGCCTTAATTGGTGCGTCGACATTCAGGTCCACTGGGTCAGGCGCGAGAGAGCTCTACTTCGTGATTTTTTTTTTTTTAGTCACGTTTTGCTTGGCAGTGAAACTGGGTGCAAAGTAAGTTTATTGGCAAACATGCACAAAATGTCTTTAAAAGCTTCAGCAGGTAAGTATACTCAGTATGATACTATACAGGAATTAAAACTATAAATTATAAGCTCCGCTGGATCGTACTGTATTTGTGCCCACATTGCACACAATTTTTATTTTACCTGCATTGGCTTCTATGAAGCCAGAGCAGTGGATCACTGGTATTCCAATATCAACCATCAGGTTGATCTATTTGGCATAGCCCTATTAATAGTTTAAAAAGGAAAGTTTTCCTTTTCACTGACGATATGCGAGTGTCTGGAACAACCACTTTCACCAATTGGTTCAACATTGGTGTGCTCTCCAACATCAACATCACACTGCTAATTAAAATTTACACAACTGTAGGTGTTTAAAAAAAATTGTGTACACTACAGCTGAAGTTCTGGTAATAAGGCATCTGAACTGGCAAAAGTAGCTGAAACTTTCTGATCACTTAATGGACGAATTGTTGAAACTAAAACCGACTGCTCAACAACGTTCAATTTGAGTTAAAACTCCCTTGGCACAAAAATAAATTATCTATTGTTTAAAGCGAGTATAATTTCATCATTTTTAATCCACTGGGAAAAAATGGAAGGATGGAAGATAGATTGCATTTTGCAACCTAAGTATATGCTTGTGGACCATAATTTACAATACACCACTTGCAGTGCATAGAAAAATATGTACCACTATAATAATTGAAAATCTCCAAGATCATAGTAGTAATGGGAACACTTACTCATGCGGAATGCAAAATGAACTGCATCAAATAATTTGCTTTCATTACCGATTAACAAGAAAGCAGCCCATCTACAAGACCAAGGTTATGCAGAGGGCATGACATGCACAACAAAGCATCTGACCAAGAACTGTGGACTTGTGGTAACATCTCTCATCTATCCCCAATGTCTGTTTTACAGTTAAAAAAAAAATGTAGGCTTAAAAATTTATTGGGAAACTCCTTAGATATACTCAATGCATGGTTATTACAACAAATACCAAACTGAGATGCATCCAGAAATACACAATTCCACTACATAAATATTCTAAACTGGTGTCGACTACCAGTTTCCGATCAACTCTGCTACATATAAATATCTTCATTCCAAGAAATAATTTCCATAGACTATAGAAACCATATAAAATGGAAAAAATATAGGGATTCTAGCATTACATAAAACCAAGCTTTGGTCTATAAAACTTGCTGTATAAGATTGAGAAAGCCTTGTTAAACCTCAATAATCATTCACACAGATACAAATTTAAACAGAATTATGCAATGTGATAAAAATGGGCAGAAATAAAAAAATGCATAATAGAGATCTCACAAGCCTTTGTAAAAACACTCCCAGGACTAAACACTGCATGGTCAGAAATTAAAATCAAAGAAATCACTGAGGCCCTCTGTGGGATCCAATGAGAAGGTATAGTCTGTATCAGATATTGGAGGCTCCAGGGTGAGGAATGGTAAAGGTGAACCAGATGAATATCCCAACATCACATCATCAGAACTACCTGGAATAACAAAGGAGGCTTTTATTTGCATCATTTATTTTTAAACAATTCACAAGGCAATTCAGGAAAAAATGCTTCAAAAATACACCAATTTTGTTTACTACAAACTACTGTATTAAAAAAAAAGTGGGGGGAGGGGGGGGTATAGCTTTTTCCAGCAAATCTGATAAGTACCATATTTTAACGAGTGACAAGCCCATTATTATTAAAAACAGAGTTTTCGTTACTGCAATAAAGCAGTTTTATCAGTTCACATGACAACTTACAAAGGTTTTTCTAAGTAAAGTAACCCACAGATTTTTGGGGGAATCAAGTTTTGAAAAACCAATAAACTGATAAAGGTATATTATAGATGAATGGAAACCTTCAAGTCTTTCTGCATGGAGACCAAACTTTTTAAATTCAAGACTCAAAAAAAAAAAAAAAAAATGTTTGATATCTAAGCAAAATGTCTTGGGGAGAGGAAAAAAAAAAAAAAAACTTACATTCTGCCAAAATCTTATCAGACTCCTTAGCAAACTATGTAATCCATCTGATCATGGTGTTTGAAGTGGATGAATTCCAGATCATGCTGAATCCACTGGTGCTATGGTAAGCTACAAGAGACACAGGACCAGCAGATCCAACAAAAGCTAGAACTCTTTCTTGGTGATGAGGATCTTAAATATTACATATTATTTAATCTAATTAACAATCCTTTCCTCCTTAACCCTTTCAATGCTTATCTCACACTACTACTTTGAGGCCAGGAGTCCCTCATGTATTTCTGTCATGAGCTCAGCTCATTCACACACTGAGTGGTAAATTTTGGCCTAGATATAAGAATCAGTTTGAGCAGTGTCACACTATAATAAAAAATCCTGCTCCATGTGGTGCATGGGAAAAACCAAAATTGTAAATAGTTTGAAATAGCAAGTTTTAGTCATTTTCTTTGGTTTTATTGGCTGTTTTTTAGTATCACTGGATAGAATGGAAGACATGCTACTAAAAATTGATTTTCGTTAGTTTCAGTATGGGACATAGCTTAAAACCAAGCTCAAAGTAGTGGACATGTTCGATTTTAGCCGATTCTCCTGTGGATGGGTGAGGCCTCCTCATACAACTCCCAGTCTGTTTTATGGGTTTTTAGTAGGTTTGATTCAATTATCAAGACACGGTAAACTATGATCAATCATTCCTGCTACGTTTTATTATGAGAAATAGAGTACAGTAAATCTACTTTTGTGATTATCAATGGAAGGTAAGTGTAATATAAGAGACCTGGAGATGAGATAAATAAAAATAGGAAATATTATAGTGCCAGAAATGTTTATGCTGTTTATTTTGGACTATTTTTAAATTGGTATTTTTTTGAATTGTGTAAAAATGGCCAAATTACCAACTGTGCACTTCATAGGGTAGTTGAAATAGCTGAATATGCTGTCTTTTCCTCAATCACTAGAACAGAAGACCAATGAAATATATAATGATTTGGTCTAATGGAACAGGATTCAAAATGGGCAAAATAGTAATGTGTAAATTGCGCCAAGACCACCTACTTTGCCCCAGCATAATTCTGGAAGTTTTCCATAAAGTTTTGTATTTTTGGTTTAATTTCCTTCAGAAAAAGTCTCTAACATTTGTTTTTTTTTTTTTTTTTTCAAGTAAGCACACAGCTATATTAATTTTAGGAGTCTGGACATTGAAAGGGTTAACACTCACAACAAATGAGAAAATTTTTTTATGTTAGCATTGTTACCCCAATTACATAAATTTGCATTAAAAACGTGCAGCAATACATCTTGAATTATTTGTTCATTTACACTAGAGGTTATAAGTATTGCAGAGGTGCACTCACTTTCATCATAAAAGCTTTCAAAAAGTTTAATTTTTTGAATGAAATAACTTGTTATTTTAACACTGATATTATCCCTGGGCACTTGTCAAGCTTTTTACATAATGCAAATTACCCAATAATACACTTTAAAAAAAAAAAAAAAAAAAACCAGCCGTATCCCACAAAGACAGGGTGGCCCAAAAAGAAAAAGTTTTTTTAAATTAAGTAATATATACAGGAGAAGGGGTTACCAGCCCTTTGCCCCTGGCATTTTAGTCACCTCTTACTACATGCATGGCTTATGGGGGAAGAATTCTATTCCACTTCCCCATGGAGAAAATAATACACACATTAATAAAACAATCAAGTAAAGCACCTGGCCTTTACAATTCACAATAAGTTACATTAAAACTGGCAAGACATTTCAGGTGACAGTGGTATTAAGCCACACACAATACCTCCACCTAGGGGGCCGAAGGCAGCATAATTTCCATATTAGCATGACAATGTTCAGCATTAGCAGCATCCAGCACAGGACCTGGAGGTAACTAACACTGTGATATGTTTGAAAACTGCTAATTAAGCCATACCACAGTGGTAGTTCCTGCAGCCACTGAGCTTGTCCAGTCCAACTTGTTGCAGCACTCAAAGTGGGTTGGTACACTAAAGCCTTATGACATCTCACGAATCAAGAGTTGTAGTCTTGAACCATCAACATCAAAGATAAACCTTGAATGATTATAGTACTCATTTTAACCACAATTGTCTCCCACCATATAGGGTGAAAAAAAAAATCAGATTCAATAGTTGTTTTGCCAATGGTGCATACATGGACATCACAATATAAATGACCCTCCAAAATGGTTATAAATACATACTAATTATTTTCTAATAGCCAACTAAAAGCCAGTTATGTGTATGGCAGTAAAGCCTAGTTGTGAACAAGAATGTCGGAAACTCTTCATTAACTAACATACATTTAGGTTGAGAAGCATCAAAGAAATCTGGGCATAAAGACTCCAAAATCTTTAAATATGATTGCAATTTATAATTACAATTATCCATTTATTTAGATAAAGCAAGGATATTGTAAAGCACATCTTTATACAATTACATGAAGATTTCAATCCAGCCAGAAAATGCTGGCCATTTCAATTAATTTAACCTCACCTGCAGAATGTGATCAGAAATATAAATGAAAGTTCTAATAGGAGCCTTTTTTTATATACATATATCATTGGTGGTTATAATCATAACCATAACTTGGTACTAAAGACAACTGCTATCATCATCTTTACAAGTTAAAACTGAACAATTAAATGCACACCAATTTAAGTACTTGATAAAAGGAAATTCTGATGGTTATCAACTGTATATATGCACCATGTTTGGAGGGATATGTTGTGTATCTTTATACTATATGCTTCTAAACTGTCGTGTTCTGAGCACCTCTGCAAAAACAGTGATTATGTGTGAGTGAGGTGAAAGTGTTGGAATGATGAAAGTATTTTCTTTTTGGGTATTTTCTTTCTTTTTAGGTCACCCTGCCTCAGTGGGAACGGCTGACTTGGAAAAAAAAAAAATTGCTGCACAAACATTTTAACCAATGAAACTGTCTGCACTATAATAACCCTCTCCACTGCACTGTTCTTAGAGCAGTCAAGCTTTTTAAGACAATGTATAACTTTGCCACACCAGCCTAGAAACATTAATACACAATAATCCCTTGCATCAGTACAAATGCTGCAATATGAAAATTTACAAACAAGTCTCTCAATATTAGTTACTTATAGTAAAGACCACCTCATCAAAGGCTAAGATATTACAAAAAGGAAGTTGTCACATCTATAGAATGCTTTGGCTTATGAAGTCATGCTGTACCTTAACATTAAAAAGTGTAAGGCAATCATATACTAACATTCACAAGCCAAAATTGTTACAAAAAAGAACACATTCGAAAGAACAAGTTTATACAACTCACATTAAAATCTCATTATGTTAGAAGACTCCTAGCATTTCCTACAGGCAAGTATAGCCTTCACATTATTAATATATTTAGGATGGATTAAACCTATAGATATACAGCACCTGGTAATGGGCAGCAATCAGGTTCAGTCCAAGGAAGGAGAGGGTCAAGTCCAATTCCTTGGATCAAGAGCTTCTCATCAGTATCAAGAAACTCCCTCAAGAGGTATAGCTATTACAAGAATCCCAATGACAATGAAGTATAGATACCAAAACACTCATGATAGGCATTAGACAAATTACACAATACAGGTTTGCCTGCACATTAAAGATTTGCTCACTGCATTAGCTGTTAACACAAAGCCCCCAATAAGTTGTTTGGATGAGCAATTCAAAAAACTTTCTGAACTCCTATATACAATAGGCTTGTTCAGTCATGCTCTGCCAGATGTGTACTGTGATACAATATATAGATCATGGTACAAAACATTTAGTACTGGATAAACTTTGGTGCTTTTCTTAGAGGAAAACTTCAAAGAACTAGTTATAATTATGTACCAAATTGTTGATAAATAAGACAATTAGAAAACCATGAATATTATGAATCTTCTTTAATACATTATTATTTAACCCTTTCAGTATCCTATGTAGATCCATGTTATTGATGCTGGTGTCTCATAGATCTAAATTTTAAGCACAGCATTCTCATGTGCCTGACCAGGCATGAGAAAATTAGTACTATGTGCAGTGTTTATGCACAACATAAAAAATATCCTATCCCAAGCAGTACATGATGGAAGAATCTGACCCCATTTAGTTTAAAATAGCAAAATTTGGAGTGTTTTCTAGATTAGTTTTATTGACTTTCTTGGTATTGATCGAGATGATTTTGATCGATTTCAGATGAAACAACTTTCAATGAGCTGATAGCTTAATGGGCTGTTCTTGTGCTGAATCGATACAATGGAAGGCAAGCTAGTGAAACGAAGGCATTGGAGGAACTCACAGTAGGCAAAATTTCCAATGCATAAATTGTGCCCAGCCAGCCAGCTTTGCACCAGCATAATTCCATAACCCTTCAGTAAAATTTTGCATTTTTTCTTGTTATTACATTCAGAAAAAGATTCTCTACCATTTCAGATGTATTTTTTTTTTTTTAAATTGCAACACTGTCAGCACTTATCTTGGGAGGTTGTGACAGTGAAAGTTAACTTATGAT